AGAAGGTGCTAAGTTATGAATGCATTTATATATCATCATAACGCGACTTAACTCAAACCGCTTGTCTAGTGTCATCCATTTAAGACTTGTGAACAAATCAGCCGACGGTGTGTCATATGTCTTGTTCAATATTATTCTTGCGGCCCTCTTTTGAATTTTTTGCAGCTTAGTTGTATGAGAATGAAATCGGTTCGACCATACAACAGAGCAGTAATCTAATCGTGGCAACACTAGACTGTTATAAAGTAACTTTAAGGATTTTTGAGGCAAAAAACTTTTTGCTCTCTTTATCATGCTAATGTTTTTCTGGGTAAGTTTACTTACGTTTTCGATTTGTTTAGACCATTTCAATTCTTCATCTATCAAAAGTCCTAAGCATTTGGTGAATTGAACTCTTTTGATCAAATTGCCGTTTAATGAAATGGTAAAAGATTCAATTTTCTTGAGATTAGCAGGAGAGCCTATTAACATGACACAAGTTTTTTCAGTGTTAAGAACAAGACGATTTTCCTTAATCCATGCCATGACTCTGTTTAACGCAACAGTTAATTTTTCTTCCACAACAGTTGCATCATTTGCACTGACGGTAAGTGTCGTATCGTCAGCATACATATCTATGATACCTTCAGGAGTACATTCAGGTAGACTATTAACATATATTGAAAAATGGATAACCTCGGCTCATAAAGAATTAGCAAGAGATAGAGACTATTGCAAAAGTCAATTTTATAAAATTAAATGCAATAACATCAGAAATGACTTGAGAAAGGCGTTTGATATCATCCCCCATGCATCTTCTTTTTAAAAAATTAGTTATTTCGGCATCAGTGGAACAGAATTATCATGGTTTGAGTCTTACCTAGAGGGAAGAAACCAATGTGAGTCATACAAGGGCATTAGAAATGATTTCCTTCCAGTTCATTCTGGGGTGCACATATAAAAATGACGCCTGGCTGGAATACTCCCCAGGGAGTGGAGCATGTGCATACATTGTGTGCGGGTAAGCCTGAATCCAATGACCGGGGTAATAATATACTTATCTGTAAAGCGCTTTGTGAGGGCCTCCGGTCCTGAAAAGCGCTATATAAAAACGAGCTATTATTATTATTATTATTATTACTATTTTGTATGTACATTAATGACATATGTGATCTAGCCTTGCATTCAACTACTAATATTTCTTTGTACGCAGATGACACTGCCATTTTCTCCTCTGGTTATGGAGTACAAGCTGTTCAAACCCAGTTACAAAATGACATACTAGTTTTATGTGAACGGATGAATGAAAATGAACTAGTTGTTAACACAGACAAAATTAAAGTTATGTTATTTTCAAGTCGAAGGAAGAAGAATCCAGTCAAATCACAAATAAAAATGGATGGTAAACTTATAGAAAATGTAACAAAATTTAAATATCTGGGTGTTATTGTAAATCAGAACTTAGATTGGTCTTCCCATGTCAATGATGTTGTCAAGAGGATTATGAACTCGCTTATATGTATGCGAAGGATTAAGCACTGTTTGACAAAATGTTTATTTAATCATTTATACTATGTTTTAATTCTTCCTCACATTGATTATTGTTCAACTGTTTTGGGATCACTGAAACAAAATGTCCGTGAAATTCAAATGAGTTGATTTTGCGATCGCTCAGTATGAGGCTCGAACTCGGCTAAGTGAGAGCCCTGCTTTACGTTCAGGGGTTTAAGAAGGGTCTTGAAAAATTGCATTTTGCACCTTTCCATGATATCTATATGATTTCTCAGCAAATTATTCGTGTTTTTACAAGAGAAAATCTTTTTATCCATATGTAATTTGTTCTAATTATCAGTTGCAGTGAATTTTTCTTTGTGTAGGTCCTTTAAAATGCACTTCAGATGTTACATAACAAAATAAGAGGGTTATGCCACAATGAATTCCAGGAAATCACCAGAAAATGCGATTTAAACAACGTACACTCAGCACTGACATCACACTTACATCATGCTTAAAAGGGGGGCATTGATGCAGGCGCGGATCCAGGATTTCTTAGGGGAGGGGGCCCAACTTTTTTTTTTTTTTGCTCCCGAAAATTTGAAAATCGCGCCGGCCGAAAAGTCGCTCAGTGGGGGGGGGGGGGGGGGGGGGGGGGGGGGGGGGGGGGGGGGGGGGGGGGGGGAAGCGGACACTTTTTTTTTTTTTTTGGAGACCCAAAAAAAAATCGCAACGACTCAACCAGCCGAAAAGTCGCTCAGTGGGGGGGGGGGGGGGGGGGGGGGGGGGTGGGTAGTGAGCACATTTTTTTTTTTTTTTTGGTCCTCGAAAATTTTAAAATTTGCACCCCCCCCTTGAGCACCAGGGGGGGGGGGCCCAACCCCCCCAAAAGGTAAAAATCGCGTGATTTTACATGATTTTTTCCCAAGGGGGGGAGGGCCGGGCCCCCCGGGCCCCCCCCCCCTGGATCCGCCACTGCATTGATGTATGTAGAAAAAACAGGATTAAGATTTTATGCAACGCTTCGAAATGTAAAAGAAGAATAAGAAAAGTAAAGTTGAGATCGAGTCGACCTGTATGTCTAGCCGGGCTATTTGAGGTCTTAGTATGGCCGGGGGGGGGGGGGGGCATTATGGCCATGGCCTCCCTTAAGACATCGGCCGTGAAGAGGCCGATCTCCGCGAAAATGTGCATGCATGTCAAGTGAAGTGTACAGAATAATATGATAATTTCATTTTTTACCCATAAATCATATATAATTCATATTTAGGCATTCTTTTTCACCACATATATTCATTAGACCATTTGGAATACAAATACGGCAAACAATTCGGAAGAGCCAGCGTATTCCTTATGTTATCTCTTGTTTTGATAATTTCTTATGTATTTCATTGTTTTCTTTAACTTATGTATTTTATTGTTTTGTTGTTTTATTTCATTTCTCACTACGATTCAACTATTTTGACATCCAAAATAACCACCTAAACTTTAAACAAGACCCAATAACCAATGTTTAGGAAAAATAACATTTCCATATGTTTTGTACACAAATCACAAAAAATGAGCGATTTTCGGCTGACATGCAAAGTCACGTGACCTTGTAACAGTAGCTCCGATTTTCAACCAAAAAAAAACTAAAGATGCGCAAGACTCGAAAGAAAAAAGTCAGCGAGCGGCGGGGCGCCATCCATATGCGTTCCCGAGTAATCGGAAAAATCGTGGAGGGGGGCATAATGCCCCCCCCCCCCCGGCCTTATTAGGGTTAATTCATTTAGTGATTACAGACGTCATTTATATGGATAATAAAGATAAAGCTGTCCGGGTCTTTGAATATAAAACACATTAATATAAACATTTACACAGGTACCAAGTATATGGATGACGGATCAATGAAACATTGGTAATTTAAGATTGAATTATTTCAATGAAGGTCTGAAAATAGAAACAAACAACTTCTCAGCAGATTAGGTAAGCAGGAACTGGCATGAAGATATAGACAGAATAAGAGTAGGCCAAGGGTACGGCGCTTATATAAAATGTAATAGAGCTATGAAATATGGCAATATGGAGTAATTGTCATATCTATTAATTATTGGAGTATCAAACTTGATTTCTCATTATGAATCAGATTGAACAATGAACAGGGTTTTTTTAAAGAGAAGGTTGAGTTCTGGGAAGAGGTGAAAAATAATTTGTGAGCATTACTCATTCTTATTATGCAAGTGTGGAAGAACATCAGTTAAGACATGTTCCCTGAAAAGCATGGCTCTTCAAATGCCTTCATATTCTAAATATGCATGTAAAATCGTAAAAATCGGGGGCCGGCTTTTTACGCCACGTGTTCGTGTAGTCCCATATACATCTTTCTGTGCAAGTGTTTGTATCTTTACCAAGACTTGGCCACATTTCTTATCATTTTGATGATTCGAGAACCTTGCAATACACACAAATTCTTATATGCTAGATGATCAACCTTTTCTGGTCGGTTCCACACCGTTTCTTTCACAATGCAATCGCATGACCAGAACTCAACTTCATCTTTAAAAGAGAAATTGATCACAGATACACGTAATTACACTATTCCTTCAGAGAGAGTAGCTTGTGAAGTTTAGATTCTCTTGTTAGAGCAAGCCCTTTACTACCGTATTGCACGGCCCAGACCTTTATCCACAAACTCGTTTTAAGCTTTTTTAATCTTCCTAATCAAAAGACGTGACCGCTGAGGAGGCAGTGGCGGAGCAATGGAATATATTGAACACGAAGTATGCGGAAGGAAAGAAAGAGGACCATTTCATGAATGAGAACAAAGAACCAGCTGAACAGCGTTCGTTTGAATGTATCCCCGGCTCCCCCACTCAGGTACGCATAAATTATGCATGTATGACGTTCCCTCCTTTTGAAAACACCCCCCTAAGTCCGGTGTGTAAAAGTCAATACGGGCCGGATTTTTGTGTACTACGTACGAGCGGGCCGGACTTTCGTGCGTGAAAGGTACCGCTTTACCGGACATTTTGGTAACACGCATGGTATCCCTCCGTTCACGGGGGGTGGGGGGGGGGGGGGGATAGTATCATGACACTAGCATATGCACTCAGAATTTATTTCCTCAAAATTGCTTTCCATTAAGTTGTTTCATTGCTATATGGGTTCGTGTGCCGATCTCTCCTTCCTTCTACATAACGCTAAAGCACAGTGTTTATGTGGAGTTGGAGTATTACAAATTTTATTACCAATGTTATTATTATCATTATATTACTATGATGTTAAATTCAGTCAGTACAAGTACTGCGTTTGTTTTATGTTGTTATATAAAATATATAGATCATATAACATTTCCCCTGCCCATATTTGTTTATACGTGCACTGGTTATGATTAATCGAGTTATGCACACAAAAAAAATACTTTTAACATCGAAGTAATGCGACTAGTGGATCTTTTTTAGATGAAATAAACCTAAAATGAAAAGGAGAAAACAAATCTGACAAAATAGAAAGAATTATTCAAGTGCCATATAGCAGTCACTTACCTTTCTGTCTTTCGCTTGAAGTTGTTCTGCAAGGTAGGGGCAAATCTGAGTTGTAAAAGAATATGAACAAAATATGATTCTCTAAACTGAAAACACTTCTTTTTAATTAACTGTACCGTTAATCTAAGCATATCAGGAGCTCTTGTAGCGCAGTAGAATATATACCTAATGTTGGATAGTTTCTGCGCTTTATAAATGTACTATTATTATTATTATTATTATTTATAAAGAGAGGAGGAGTCTTTTAGGTAATTTTTAGTGGACAATTTTCCTTGAAAATGGTGGCATTGACCATTACGTTAGTTTGCATTCCACAAAAAAAAAAAAAAAGAAAAATAGGAGGCGGCCCTAAAAAAGGAAGCGGGCGGGGACGCTAAACATGTATATTTTTTTTAATGGCCTAAAAGAGTATTGTTTTAGGTTTTTCGTGTTTAGCTGTAGAGAGCAGAGGTATCTTCCATGCATGATTATAGCATTATGGACTAATGTTGTTGTTTTTTTACTTGAACAGAGTTTAATAGTTGATCTCACACTGATCTAAGACTAAATTTTGGTCAAGAAAAAATAGCATTTTAGAAACGGAAGCCATAGGAAATCACAATATTATATGAAACTTGTAAAACGTTTAAAAAAACAAAAAACAGATATAACCAGGTCAGATATTGCTCTAAATCATCACCAAAGGTAAACTTTTGTTTACGATTTGCTGCCATGTCAACAAAATTATTATTTAAGCGTGTAGCAATTTCCTTAAATCCAAAAATATCTTCAAAAGTGCCCCTTTTCTTTTTTATGAGCCCCTCCCCTTATCAGAATACCCCTTTCAAATTTTCACATGTGCATCTTCTTTTTTATCTTCATATAACAAATTGAAATCCAACTCTCTGTTTTCCCTTTTACCAATATTGTTTCCTCCATTTTTTTAATTATTAATATGTATCCATTGAGGGTAGTCATGCTACAAGCTTTGCTTACTTTGTCAACCCTCCTGTTTGATGTTTTCGATTAGTCACAGCCAGCCTTACTTTGTTATATTCTTTAGTCATGTGTAAAATTTGCAATGTTTGTTTGTTATATATTTGTAAAAGTGCAAAAGAAAAAGAAAATCAATCAGAAATAAATCAATCAAATCAAATCATATCAAGCAAATCAAAGTCTGAGCTTAATAATCTCAATTGTACATAATCTTCTTTAGTTCAAAGTTAAATGATATTCTGTGACGGAGCGTAGCAACCGAGAAAGAATATTTATCATTTTATTAATGTAACTTTGCATCATTATAGCGCTTATGAGCCTAAAAGTGAAGTGTCACACAATAAGTACGAGCGGACAATATGCAATATGGGAAGACATAGAAAAATAATCTCTCTTTCCTCACCTGAAAACTGTTCTGTTGCTTTGCTGAGACATATTGCCAGCAACGTTGAGAGAAATCCGAGAAATAAATGCATTGTTAACCACCGTCATTCCGCTACAGATATCGGAAGCATAACTTATCCATATATATATTCCAACGGCACGTTAAAATGAAGACACAGGTCTGCGAGGTGTGTATTCCTCTCACAATGGGCAGTAATACCAGAGGATATGGTGTGCGTGGCGTAACATTAATTGATCAAGTAATTGTGTTGTATGATATAAATTTATTCCTCATAAATGTTTGATTTTATGAACGAATGAAATTCAGCAAAAATAAATCATACAACAAGCAGCAGGTCTTCTCTATACCCAGTTACGAGTTTCAGCTATTCAGGTGGTCCTGATAAGGTTTGCCGGGAGGAAACTCTATCTAAAACCGATGAATTCAATTTTAATTATCGAGAAGCCGCCTTGCCGACTGAGACGGATGATTCTTTACCAGCGATGATGTTCAAGTAATTCCAAAACAGGTTAAGTCTGCAGAACGTTTATAAATCTCGGAAAAACAGTAAATTGGCTGTAGTCAACTTTCCATCGGCTTGATGAGGATATTTGGGCGACGTTTTCGTCCCGCTTGTGAAGATGGAACTCGTCGTGAGTGAAACGAAGATAATGCAATGATGCGAAGAGTTCCCCACCCTTCTTGAGTTGTCTCAACACGAAGACCGTCCTTAAAGTTGTTCCCCCTCTCATTTCAAAATCTTCAGTATTTACAAAACTTATCATGACTCCAATATTTCGAAATACAATCACACACAGTCTCGGATAATGTGAAACAAATTTTAGGCGATGAATTGTGTATAGGTCTTTTTCTTTTTATGTGAATAAATTCGTCAGTTGTAAGTTTTGGTGACAAACAGTCTCAAAATTGAGACTGTTAGGCCAAAGAAAGCTCTCCTGAAGGTTAACTGTGCACACAGTCCTTTGTTGATTCAATCGTTCACTTGCAATTGTTCCCTTCTTATCTCATATTTACTTCCTCTCTTATATACTCCCGATACATTCAACTGAATTACAAGCCCAACCGTTTTACAAAGTGTTGAATATTTAGAACAATGCTGCTATATACCAACGAAACATCGCGAAGAAAAAAATACTCAATATTATAAAATGTCATTAATTCAGAAGGAGGATATGCATTGTATGTTGTTACTCATTTCATATAATACCAAAGATATACTTGATTATACTGAGGTACCAAAGCGTGCACAATCCATAGAGAGGTCATTCTAAAGGCGTACTCCCTTTTGCATGAAAGTGATCTTTTTGTGGAGGTGGGTAAATCAGTTTCTGGAAAATGGTGGAGGACAAGGACAGTATAACTGCAGGATAAGAGTAGTGAGAACAGTATCGTTTCTTTTAATAGGTGACGGCGAAAAACATTTAGATTTTAGAAACTTCATTATTTTCAATCGAAAGGTTCAGCGCTTATATTTCAAATCAGCAGTAACATGATTACGATGCTATCAATGCTTTAGGACAAGAATTGAATCTACATTAGCCACTCTTTACCCAGGTGTACTAAATGCAGCTGATATGGGGGAATCGAATGCAACAATAATTCGAAATCTCAATCCAGCATTGTGGATCTTTGACAACACATTAATCTACATTTGCCCCTCTTTACCATGTGAATTAAATTGATATTTCGTAGTGAGATATTCCTTGAGTGCTCATGCACCTTAATTGGCAGGTAGTTGAATGCAAATATACCGGTAAAAGAAAGATGTTATGATAATAAATAATAATAATAATAATAATAATAATAATAATAATAATAATAATAATAATAATAATAATCTTTTTTAAAGTCCACTCCAAATTTTATTAAGTTAAACCGAAAATGGAAATTCTTTTTGCCCAATTGATCGTGAGCCCGGCAGCACTGAGCAGCGCCAGATCGACGTTGCTCTAATATTGTTGAACGCCAAACAAGGTAGCACCAATCCCATCTTTTAACGTCTTTTGGTATGACGCGGCCGGGGTTCGAATCCACGACCTCCCGTGCACCAATGTGCATTGGATAATAAAAACGATTAGTACACATTTAATATCATAAATCGCCATAAATAAAAACCGATAGGATATAGCATTAAACTAGCCGGTACTGAAGTAGCCTATAATAACCAATTATTTCTACTGTACCGTTGTAAAATGGTGAGTTTTGTAATTGGGAAATGGGTTGTAGGCTTATAAAACCTACAGCCTTTTCACACAGGGTAAAATTATTTACAGCTGATTAGTTTAAACAGGGAGGTGTCACTTATAAGGAGAAGAATCTTTTATTTTAAGATCCAGGGGTATTAAAGGTATTACAAAGTTTTGGGAATTTTTGAAAAATGGGTGGATAGTGATTCTTTACGATTTATATATATTTGGATGCCTCTGTGAATGTATTAAAAGTACTAAAAATTTTAGCCCCTAAAACACTCCTGCTTTCGAGAAAAATTGAATATAAAGATTTACCGGTGCTCCCGGTAAATTTTGATAAATTTCAAAAAGCTCCTACGGCCGTACAATGGTAGCTGCGACCATGACAATCTCAGAATACGTAGTTATGGTATATAATTTCCGAACGGGAATAGCTAATCGGCCGATTTTAGTTAATATACATTGTTTTGTAGCTTAATTAATATCTTGACCTTGAGAGGGAGCTATTCAACATAAAGTGTTTATTATTTACAATTTTATAACTTTAGAGTCGATTTCGACCGCAACAACGATCACTGAATATTGTAGGATCGCACATGCTTTCAGTATGTTCATTTGAACCAAATTCATGACCCCATTCCAAAACTTTGTAAGCTTGTTTGCTGCAATTGATCCTCCAAACTCTCAGATCGCTCAGACAGCCGCTCGAAACCCGGAGGCTAGAAATGAGCGCTGGGTCGTAAATCAGATCGATAACGCTGTCGCTGAACGGAAAATTTGAAAAAACGTTGAAAAAAACGAAATAACGCCTTTTTACGTCGTATTTCAGCCAATGCCGATGTTGGCTTTTTTGTTGGCATTTTCGTGTTGCTTATATTACCCATAATTAGCCTGCTCATGTATTGTTATTATCGATTAAATAATTAATTAACGGTCACCGTGTTTTTTTAAAGTGGAGCTGAATTAGTATGATCGTATTGGCTAAATTTCACACATTTTGGGGTCTAAAATTACCTTCATACCATTTTTAGGTTCTAAAAGGGCACTATTAATGTCATAGATAAGAATAAGAGCAATAACCATGCACTTTGAAGGCATTTGCGGTCTGAAAACAGAACTCAACTATCCCTTTAAGATTCGAAAACAGAACAACGAATCGTCTTCTTTCTCTAATGATTTAATGAAAACGTCAAAGCTTCCGCGCTTCGCGCGGGAAGGAGGCAACTGAATTCAGACAAGGATTAAGAGTCGAGAACGGTACAACGAATCGTTATTTTCCTCTAATAATTTAATGAAACGTGAAAGCGGGATGAGCGAAAATGAATTCAGACAAGGATCAAGAGTTGAGAACGGTACAACGAATCGTCTTATTCCTCTAATTTTTAAATGGAAACGTCATAGCTTCTGCGCTTCGCGCAGGAGGGGTGAAACAAGAATTAATAGTCAGGAACGGTACAACGAATCGTCTTCTTTCTCTAATAATTTAATGAAGTGTCAAAGCTTCCGCCCTTCGCGCGGGAGGGGGAAAACTAAAAAATAACTCAGTTCTTGCCCCCGGATTTGTAGGGTTAAATTTGTAGACATTGGGACATTGGCATTAATATATTCGTCGGTAATTGGTGGCTAGTTGTGTCGGTTATCGGTGGCCTCTACACCCCCCCCCCCCGCACTTAAAAAGGTCTGGCGACGCCCCTGATAACAACACAGTTGATACACTCGAGATCTTTTTTGCAAGTACTTCTGGTGAGGTACTAGACGACCGTATTTGTGCATTGTGCAGCAACGAAGCATAAACAACGTATCGCGACGTGACAGATCACTTTTTCTCTAACTTCTAACAAATCAAAAGGCAAGGGTGTCGATTTGTATCCGTGGTTGGGGGGGGGGGGGGGGATGATAGGTGCCATATATATAATAAATATTTTCGGCAATGGATCAAAGCACCAAGAGGTAGAAGCGTGTGGCAGGTTGCACCCCATCCCAAAGCGCGTAGCACGTTCCCTAGGGGGTTGGGTGCAGGGAGGGAGGAGTTTCCCCCTCCCCCGAGAAGCGCGGAAGCTTTGACGATTCATTGGAACGTTCTCAACTCTTAATCCTTGTTTAAATCAGGTGCCCCTTCCTCCGCGCGTAGCGCGGAAGCTCTGATGTTTCATTAGATTATTAAAGAAAGAAGACGATTCGATGTACCATTCTCTTGTCTGAATTCAGTCCCCCCCCCCCCTCTCCGCGCAAAGCGCGGAAGCTTTGACGTTTCATTAGATTATTAGAGAAAGAAGACGATTCGTTGTATCGTGTACTTGTCTGAGTGCAACCCCCCCCCCCGGCCCTCCCGCGCAAAGCGCGGAGGCTTTGCACGTTTTCATTTAATTATTAACTCTTAATCCTTGTCTGAATTCATTTTCGCCCATTCCTGCGCGGAGCGCGGAAGCTTCCACATTTCATTACATTATTAGAGAAAGAAGACGGTTCGTTGTATCGTGTCCTTGTCTTAATTCAGTTTCCCCCCTACCGTGCGAAGCGCGGAAGCTTTGACGGTTCAATAAATTATTACTCTTAATCCTTGTCTATATTCATTTTCGCCCATCCCGCGCGACGCGGAAGCTTTACGTTTCATTAAATTATTAGAGAAGGAAGACGATTTGTTGTATCGTGTCCTTGTTTGAATCCAGTTTCCCTATATACGTTTGTCTCATTTATTTCGTATATATGTATATAATGCAAATGAGATAGCAAAATGTATATATCGATGGTCATCTTGCGAGTAATAACCATTAACTACTTTCATCGGGCTCTTATCATATAATTTTTCTCTTTATTATTTTTTTTATGGTGAATTATTGGGGGGGGGGGATGATTGTACAGGCCATTCCCCCCACCTGAAATATTGGGGGGGGGGGGGGATATATCCCCCCATCCCCCCCGGATCGACACCCATGTCAAAAGGCCTCGTGTTTTCCAGGAAGTGCCGGTGGACATTAATCCGCCAAATGTGGTTTTCAAATTGCAAAAGATTCCTACTCTTGGAAGGGGTAGGAGAAATCAATTTTACGTCAAAAAATACTCCAGGAAGTGCCGAAAAATGCGCCTAATGTGGTTCTAAAATTGCAAATGCTTCTTCCTTTTCGAGGGGGATCTGACCCCCTCTCAGGACCCCCCCCCCCCACCCCCTCCCTGCTTGTCACTCCACTCCCTCGCGCTGACGCCTCGCTCCATCGTTTTTAATATAAATTTCACCCCATGCGAAATTTTTGTGCCCCCCGAAATAGCTTTATAGTTCTTGCAAGGAAATCACTTCGTGTCTGCCCTTAGTTTGTATTATGGGGGGTGGGGCGGGGGGGGGGGGGTAACATCCAATTAAACTCATTTTCAGCAGATGCCAGAGAGTGGGAAACTGTTGGAATGAAAGCATTCGAAGCTTTAGAATAATCCAACACAGGACAAATAACATATTGAAGAATAACGACCTTTTTGTAATATTTCATTGTAATTTACAGACGGTTTCCTTTTCCAGTTGACAGAAATCTGT